GCCATTCTTCGACGAAAGATTGCTGCCGATCGAGAACTATTTTCCCAATCGGCAATTCCGATTGAATTCGAAAAAAGCAAAGTCAAAGATTATCGTATGAGGAAGCCGACCATTGAACAAGAATGCGCGGCTCAGATGGAAAAATTAAAATCTATGCAAGGAGAAGTGGAAGAATTTAAGCCAATGTACCCACCCCCAACCAAAATCAAGAACTTACTCTACGATGGTATTTCTCGGGAGCAAAAGGGTCGCAGTCTCTACTTAAGGAAGCGATGCGAGCATGATCCTGAAAGCAGGTTTCCCTATCCCGTCACTTCGTCCATGGAATACGGTTGGAATATCATAGACCTTGCTAACAGATTTGATATTAAAAAACCAATTCACGGACGTCGGTGTATTATAAGGGATACGTTTTATCGAAGAAATGGAATACCAAACCCTGCAAAAGATTGAATTCCTTTTTTTACAACAATTTTATCATTTTTAGACAAAAAAAAAACAAAAAAAGAAAAACAAAACAAAAACAAAAAAGCAAAAGAAAAAATATTTTTAAAAGAATATTTTGATACGTGGTTTCTTGTACATTATTATTATTATTATTATTTAACAGTTAAGAGAAGAGCGCGATTTGTGAAAAGAAAAAAACACAATGTTTAACACTTTCTTTTTCTTTTCTTAAATCGTGCTCTTCTTTTAACTGTTGAAAAATATTGGAAGAGTTATGTCAGCCATTTTGTTTATTATTATTATTATTTATTTTTTTTAAATTTCATAAACGTGTTGGCTTTTGTGTGCGTGTGTCCGTTTGACGGAATGATGACATTTTGGAGCCAAACGGCTCAAGAACAGATTTGATTCATAGTTGACACAATTGCGTAATTTTCTGCTAAGTCGAATTCGAGCCTAGCTGAAAGACAAACTTTCAAATACTGATTATCATGACAGACATAGTCATTCTCATTTAAAAAAAAAAATAGAGAAAAGGAAACAGGTTGAGAAAGCTGCGTTATTTCTCACTTGCACCAGTTATCGATACTTGAGTGCAGGTTAAAGCCAAGATTTTGAATGATGATTTTTATGGCTGGCACCTAGTGTGTGTGGGGGGGTTTCCTTTATTCCGTTTCAAGTCAGCCTTACTCAAGACTAATAGTTATTTCTCATGACCGAGAGAATTTCGTATACCCTACTAGCGTTCAGTGTTTGAGCCGAGATAAAACCCAAAATTTCCGATGCTGATTCTCGAAGCAGACATAGCCCTCCCCTTTAAAAAATGGTGCTACACAATCTTCCTATCCAAAATTTTTTACCATCTGGCTTTAGCTTAGTAAATAGCAGAGGGGTGCTGCTAGATTGAAGCTGCTCAGTTTTCATTTTCCATCCTTGTTAGAGTTCAAAATCGTTTACGCTGTCTCGTGGGGAAAGACTTCCACTTTGCAACCTCTTTCCACGCAGACACAACATTACATGCTTCTACTACAGTGTTGAATCACCCTCATTTTCTCCGTAGTACAAATGTAAGGAGAAAGTTTCATTCAGTTTTTTTTTTTGTTGCAAGGATTGCTATTTTGTGAGGCAGATTCCCTTTGTGAGGCAGATTCCCTTTGTGAGGCAGATTCCCGGGTGAGTGTTTCCCTGGACACTTTAATCTTGACCCCTTCAAGTCAGGGGTCAGTCGTTTTCTATCCTATTTATCCTCATAATTTTTACTTTCTACCACCCCCTCTTTCATTCATATCTGTAACATATGAATATAGGGAGCATATCGGATGCGAATGGAAGTTCGATTGGTGTACGGGACTTGTCTTTTCTGTACCGTGACATATGATATTGTCATGATTTTCTAGGTAGGCAGTCAAGTTCCTCTCAGTTGTAGGACTGACGCCACACAGTCTTTATATTCTCATTTCCTACCATTTGACCGTGAGCTAGACTTTTCGTTTCTGGACCGAAACATATCACCCACTTTATTTGGCATAACCGTTTTAACAGTAATTCTCTACATTGAATTACCCTCGAGCCTTATATTGGGTAACTCTGTAGTATATAAGAATATTGGAGAGTCGGTTGCTATATTCTCTCATCTCATACCCCGGTGATTGTTATTCTGATTAATAATTTTTTATAATCATTTCACCTCAAATAAGGCGGTGATGCCACGTGTAATCAGAGGGTTACGTGGAATGAGAATGAAAGAGAAGACCGAAAATAAAGAGGATTGAGAAAAGGACAAAAGATGAACGGGGTTCAAGAAGACAGAAGATGGCGATTGACGTTGCATTTAAATTTTTGAAGATTGTAGCTATCTGGGAAGCAAGGAAACGGGAGAGAGTTCCACATGTGGTAAGTGCGAGAAAAAAAACTGTTGGAGTAGAATTGGTGAAATTAATTCTAAGCAGTGATTTTTAATTTATTAGGTTGAGTCAGAGGTTGAGTCATAAACAATTTCCATTTTTGGGAGGCATTTGTAATGATAAATATAACATCCAAACTGCAAACTACTAATAACATCCGAACTACTAATAACATCCAAACTACTAATCATACGCGGCAGTTAAAAATTGAATTTCAAGGACACTAATGTACCTTAATTTTTGCATGGCACTTGAAGCGTACACAATAAATAAAAGGGAAAAAGAAAATGGAAAATTTAGGAATTCTGTTCTCACGACCTTACCATATTCATCTGAACTTGCACCAAATAATTATTACCCTTTTCAATCACCACAAAACGCTTTAACGACGAAAACTTTATCAAATGAAAACCACATTCAAAAGGCCGTCGAAAATCTCTTCACATCGAAACCTGCGGATTTTTAAAATATCATTTCACCCCAAACAGGACAATAAAGCCACTAAGATGCAAGAGGTTACTGAGTGTTAAAGAATGAGAAAAAGAAAACATTACTAACGAGAGAGAACAATAACAGAACATTACTTGCATTATTTACATTATTCCAACTGTTATCCTCATCTTCATTGCCATATTCACAACGTTTCCGGCCTTCCTCAGATGACTGGAATTTCGAAACGAACCCTTTATTCCCTTTGGCCCAGTGGATAAAGACGTTGGTTAGATCCAGTGACTAGACCCAAAGAGTTGTGAGTTCAGTACCAGGCCACAGCAGTGTTGAACCAAAACTTGGAGAGCTGTTAAAGGGAAATAGCTGAGACATCCGGAAGAGGCATGGCACATGGAACTAGAACAAGCTACCCCTGTGGACGAAATAAAGGGTTCAGTTCAAAATTCCAATCACCTGAAGAAGGCCCGAGCGTACAACGGCTGAAACGTTGTGAATATGGCAATGAAGATGAGGATAACAGTCTGAATAATATAAATAATGCATGTAATCATAATACCTCATCTCAGAGATATAGAGGCCAAAACGTTGTAAATCTGGCAATGAAGATGAGAATAACAGTCCGAATAATGTAAATAATACAAGTAATCATGATACCTCATACAGATACAGACAAATAAAAGAACAGTTATTAAGAGAGAAGATAACAATTGACATTGCTTTTAAATTTTTGAAGATCAAAGTTGACAGGAAAGCAAGAAGCTGGAAGATAATTTTACAAGAAAGAAATGTGTTGAAAAGAAACTGTTAGCATAGGACTTACGGTTACATTTAGCCAATTCAGCTGTAAAATGAGACATTGCAGTCAAACTGGTACTCAAACGGTTTCAAAAAACTACTTGATAATTGTCAACAATTGCCAATAATGGTAAACATAATTGAATAAAATGTAATTGTACTTCATTTTACTTTTAAGAATAAAGTCGATAAACAAAAACAGAAATTATTTATGATTCAGTCTAATATCTGGAAACAATTCCATTCATAGATTTGCAAAAAAATATTATCAAAAGCAACATTGGATTAATCGTTAGGGTTAGTAAGCGTTCAACGGAATTCGACAGTTTCATGTACATAATGTGTTACAACAGGAATATCGGCAAGCTGTCCAATGGCTGCTTAGTCATTTTCATGGGAGCATAAGATTACAATATAAAGTAGCAAGCATTCCAATAAATCACAATTAATAACATTGTATGGGAACTTCGATGTGATGTAATGGTTAGCAAGCTTCTCTTGCTAAATCAATTAAGACTGAATAGTGAGTTCGATCCTCACTGGGTACTCCATATTTTCGGTATTGATCCACATCTAAGCTGCGCTTAGAAAAATCATCGTAGCTGGAAGACTTTAACGTGGTATAATGGTTAGCAAGCTTGCCTCGCGAGATCTATTACGACTGAATAGTGAGTTCGATCCTTACTGGGTGCTCCATACTTTCGACCGTGTGCCACATCTAATGTATGCTTGGAAATTTTTTTTTTTATATTCAAAATTTTTGTCATGCGGTGTTTTATAAGCATTGTGGTATATGGAGGAGCGAATGATAATGGACGATTTTTTTTTGTTGTGGTTGTGAAAATTGTAACGAATGAATGAATCGTTAATCGAATTAGCTAGGTATAAGATAGCATCGACCAGCCTCAAACCATTCCCCCACTTTTTAGCCTTGTGCCACAATTGCTGTATTTTCAAGCAATAAATCTCGTGTAATGGTTAGCAAGTTTCTCTTGCTAAATCAATGCAGACTGAATAGTGAGTTCGATCCTCACTGGGTGCTCCATATTTTCGGCCTTGTAACTTATGTAAGCTACACTTGCTAAATCGCTTGATATGGGTCGGACATTTTCCAAGGGAACCTAATTCTTAACATGAACCTGTGGAATTTCCATGGCTGTTGGCAACTAAGGTAATTAAAATATCTGCTCTTCTCACATCTTTTGTCTGTATCTTCTTCTTTTCTCCCTTATCCATTCGAATCGCTACGGTCAACCATTTTCGCATTCCTTCGTTTTTTGTTTCGATTTTATCATCTTTATCCCATCCAGTTTACGTTGTCTGTGGATGTTTTTATCCAACTGTCATATAACCATCGATTAGTTCCATAGCAAAAAATAAGGGACAGGGCTTACGGCGGCACCACGTTGCCGTACGATCACTAAAGTTAAGCAACGTCGAACCTAGTCAGTACCTAGATGGGTGACCGCTTGGGAATAGCAGGTGCTGTAAGACTGGATGTGCAGGTGGATGACATGGTTGAAACACCGAAATGACCGAAGTTGGTAACTCGATGGGTGACCGCTTGGGTATAACAGGCTCTCTAAGCTCATATGTGCGGGTGGTGTTATAGATAATGGCTCGAACAGCCAATTCCATTTGGGTTCGTTATATTCACTTACGCGCAAATTTTCTGGGTAAAGTATCTGTTTATATTTCTGAAATGAGGTATTATGTACACTATTTACATTATTCGGACTATTGTCCTCATCTTTGTCGTCATATTTATTACAACGTTTCGGTCCTTCAGTATCTGTCTATATTTCTGAGATAAAGATATTATGTACACTATTTACATTATTCCGACTATTGTCCTCATCTTTGTCGCTATATTTATCACAACGTTTCGGTCCTTCAGTATCTGTCTATATTTCTGAGATGAGGTATTATGTACACTATTTACATCATTCGGCCGTTGTATACTCCGGCCTTCTTCAGGTGGTTGGAATGTCGAATTGAACCCTTTATTTGGCTCAATGGGGTAGACTGTTCTAGTTCCACGTGCCATGTTTAATGGATGTCAGTTATCTGTTATCTCCTGTTAATTCTCCTCACCAAGTTCTCCACTGCCTTAACCAGGTATTGAACTATTGTAGATTGTTCTAATTCCACGTGCCATGCCTTTGGATATCTCAGTTTAAGTTAATTAGCCTTGATACCTCTCTAAGTATTTTTTTTTGTTTTGTTCTCCCCGTTGAAGACAGGGTTTGAGTTGACACTCTTTGAGTCAAGTCACTTTTTAGATCAATAAATCAACACTTTGAACAATGTCAATAGTGTAAATAGTGACATTACCTCATGTCATAAATGCAGACGGAAGATAAATAAGTGTTCAAAATACTTATCTTCTGATATTAGGTTTTGTGCATACACTGTTAGTTAACCAACCATTACGCCACCCTGAGGGACCTATTGTGTTATTTACCAAGTTTGATACGATGCAACAATGACAGGACACACATTGACGATCGGACTCACTAAATAACCGTCATACATTCTGTCTTTCTACCATGGATAGTCCTTTCTTTTTGCTGACCGCCATGCATTCTATTTTTCTACAATGAATAGTCCTTTCTTTTTGCTGACCGTCATACATTCTTGCAACTAATTAGAAATCAGAAAAGTGATAACAAATAAAATCAGAAAAGCGGTCATTAAAAAAACTTACCTTCAGTTACAAAGGCACGGTGGAGTAATGGACAGCGGCTTTGATTGAGAAATCGAAGATCCGAATCCATTACTTTCACTTACGTGCTAATACCCTCTTCTTCTCTCGCCAGCTGTGTGTAAATAAGGTTCTGTAGCCTTGGACGGTAACTAGTCTATTGCAGAAAGAAATGGCAACCTACTGCGGGAAAAATTTGCCTCGTCAGTCATGTATCGAAAGGTACATGATCGCCTAAGCGTGTATCACGCATGGCACATAACTGACGGACTAACCTTAAGATAAAATAATTTTCAATTTTTCTTTTTATCTAAAGCAAACACACGATGAAAATGATGGATTGGCTGAGTGATTGATTTGAACATTCGAAAAAGTCCATGTCTCGTTTGCTGCCGATTTTATAAATACTACAATCCTCACAGTATTTAGTATTTTGTTGAAGTTATTGCTAATATCTTTTGTCGAGATTTACAAACTCTACGTTTCGTTCAATTTCGCAAACCAATCGACGAAATTTGAATAAGCTGATTTATTTGAAAAAATACTTTGGCAAAAACCCTACTTCGCGATTTTTACAAACACTAATAAAACAAACTGTACTTTGTATCTCTTTAGCTGTTTGCACTTCTCTCCACTTCTATCGGTCAATGTATGGCTATTTTAGCGAGTGTGATGGACGGATTAATGGTAGTCAGAGATTTTTATATATATATATAGATAGAAGCATTATAATTTTTTAGTTACTTAACGATGTCATAAAACACTCTGATATGTCTCTTTCTATATATAATTTATGGCAAAATAATTTCCATGCCTGAGGATGACTGTATGTACAGTTGAAAGTACTAGCAGATTAAAAAAGACCTTATACAGCTTGTAGTTATTAAAAACAAGGATCATAACATTCATCGAGTGGTTCGTAGGTTAATGCAACATTAAAATTTTGTTTGCGAAGAGTTTTCGCAATTTTATATCATTAACTTTACTAATCTACTTTTTGTATGAATGATTAATTGTAATATAAATTGAACTGAAACACATATTTGAATATATATATATATATATATATATATATATATATATATATATATATATATATATATATAACGAGAGAGAGACATTGAGGTCAAAACTGAGTATATTGTTTCACGCGTGAACGCAATCTTCAGACCATGTCATACGCTTTTTATCCCTAATTATCAGAACTTTTACCCATAAATATAGCAAACTTTAAAACTATATTTTTATCATGATATATATATATATATATATATATGTAATTATCTC